AAGTTACTCGCAAATTTAACGCCGACAGTAAGCAATGATTTAAGGTAATGAGAATCTCTTTCACCAAACATTATTAAGTAGGTAATACTTCGTGGGAGATTGTATTGTGTCGCCAGGTTGGCGAAATTTGTACTGATTTCTGACATCATATTTTGTCATAAATTGCTTGTTTTACTGAAAATATAAAACAAAATGGACCCAGATAAAATGTTCAGTTAGCCTAAATTTAATTTCAGTGAATGTGTTGATTCTTTTAGGGTTTTTTTTTTGCATACGAAGACAAACAGAACGCAAGTAATGTTCCATAATGTCAGCGGATAATATGAGCAAACTTGTATAAACAACATAACACAAATACTGTTATCCAGTGTAATAAATGTTTACATCCGAACAGTCCTGATCGTAAATGATACAAACGGCGACTAGTGACCGTTAACTGTAACGAGAAGTTAAATTCCGCGTGTCATGTACTGTTATTGTACGAAACTGCGAAATTAATCTCAATTAGTTGTCATGGATACAGTTTGTTGGCATTAGAAGTAATAGTTTGCATTCATATGGCATTATATTATATACATTTTGCATCCTATTGGAAAAGTAATTGGGCTATTATTATAGCCTGTATATTGCTTAATACATTTCATCACATTTATCGGTAAAATCTTAATACAACACTTATTTGCATCAGTCCTTTAGTTATGCCATTTTTAAGCACGCACCGGTGTGAAATTATTTAACAGAAATCTAGCTAAGTGTTATGTAATTTAACAATCATTTTAAAACATTACGACAAAACGGAATACTATCTCTATCGGGTTGAACTTTAGCCTTGAAGATGGAGGTAGTATGTTCTTCCGAAACGTTGGTATTTACCTACACGTCCTCGTGGCGTTAACCCAGAATACCGTCTTATCTTTTGTTTACAACAATTGCGTGTTCATCGTAATTGATTGATGTTTTATAGCATTTTAACATCATTGGTAGGAAGTGATATAGACTTATCAGTACAGCCTTACATGGAATATCTATTTTAAGAGCTGGCAAGTATTACCGAATCCTTTGTTTTGGGTACTAAAACAAGGCTATTTATTGCAAGTGGGAGCTTTGAGCTATTTCCACTTTACAGAAGCCATAACAAAACAGAACGCCGCACAACACCTGCCATCTAGAAATTCGAACGTGACACGTAAGAAAAAAAGAAACACGATGAATAATTTCGTCTTAAGAATGTTTCAGAACGGGGCTTTCCCGCTTGTCAGCTGTTGTCTTCCTGTCATACGTACTAGACTGGAATATTGAGCCTGATGAATGTGCCACAGCGACACTTGTCGATGTAACGTATTCAATTTCCCGCCCACCGGTCCCATCTCAGCAGCATCCCTATCTCTCGTCTGCGTGGTCCATAAGGAACACTAACGAGAGAGGCAGAGAAGTTTGCGTGCTGAGCGTCAGATGAGATTTCCAATAAGCGAGCATCTCCCGTTGCAGCAAGATGAGTCTGGCGTTGAATTAGTTCAGACCAATGAGCTCTGTATTCCACTTATATTCTTTGCACATGCTTTGTACAGAACAGCCGACCTGACGTCGTATAAAGAGTCCCGTCTTATACAAACCATCTGGTCAGCTGTTTTCCGTCCAAATGATCATTGAACATGACTGTCTCATTTTTTTTCGTTATACTTACCTTCTCGCAGATAACTGTTTTGTGTAGAACGTTTTCAAAGAAAAGAAACGATTTTGAAGATAAAATTTTTCTTAACATAGAAATTAAATGGAGGAAAATATGTACCCGAGGAATAAGGTAAAAAGAACAAGGCTTCAAAATCACGTTTAAAAATCCATATTCTGACATTCGTAAATATAAATTTCATTTCCAAAAATCACTTTTACTGCCTAACATCAGTTCTTTCATGCAGTGTTCATTCAACAGTCAAAATTTAAGTAATGAAACTACGTTCTGTATAAATTTCTGCGTTTACAATATTTATTATGGTTCCAGGATATTCAGCTCTTAATTTTCATTAGATCACATTGACTAAGAATATTGAAATAACGTTGATTACCTATTATACGAACTCTGTGTCTGTTTTCGAAACAGACGACATTGTATAATTTTTCCGGATTTTCAAGAGGTTCGTATTTTATATTTATAACGTTTGGGGGGGAACAAGGGTTAGACGTTCCACTAAGAAAACACAACGCGACTCTTAAGTTCAATTGGCTAATGATGACTGCCTTCTGGGTTGTAGCGCCGTGCAGTCTGGTGGAATTTTATCAACATTTTCAGAGTTCCCTGCTGCCTCCATCATCAGGGCAATGATGGAGGCAGCATGGACCTCTGAAATGTTGGTAAACTTCTACCAGACTACACGGCGCTACAACCCAGAAGACAGCCATCTTCGGACTCAACGTCATCAGAACGAGGAATGTCTTTTTAATCTGAGAGTCATATGTAACTGATACATAAATTCTCTGGGCAGATTGTGAGGCTAACGTATGCTTTCACATTGATACAGACAGTAAACTGTATACCGTACGACAAAGGGTTACATGAAGTGGAAAGACGGAATATTTGTAACTCAAACACGGTTTTTTTACGTAATAATTATGTTGCGGGAGGGGCTTCAAAGAAGAGAATAAACCTCAGTCAGCATAGCCAGTCTGCGAGCTGAGGTTTGAACACGGGACCTGCCTAATACGAAGCCGGATTGCTAATCACTGCCGAATACTTCCAACTTATGGTTGTTACTGTCTGAACAATGTTTGTACTGTGTATCCCATAACTCACGGGCAGCGCTAAGTGTGGATGGAACAGATTTATGGGTTGTATTTTCCATCACAGGGCCGTGTGACATCGAGAAGAAATACGAATGCAAGGACCGGAAATTGGTGTTTATTTCTGTGTTAGAGTGTCTGCAGCAAAGATGATGGTGCTCTTGATGGGGAAGCAGATACGCATTCATGGTCGCCTTGTGTTTAATGGCTCAGCCACAACAAAATACTGTTTGTTTTGGTTTTATGCCAGGCTGCTGTTACTGTAACTGTGTCCACGCATTGATTTAATGTGTGAATCTATCTTCTGAATACAAAATTCTGTACTTCAACTGGAACAACAGATACAAACATCTCTCATTATGTTTCGACGAGTATTTGGGTTGTACATATTAACCCTTTAAAACTCTGTGGTAACTGTATGTACCACCTGCTTCTTAAATCGAATTACCTTAAATGTCGCTCCTACCAAGTCATTAAATTCAGTGATAATCTCCATGTCATTCGACTCTGTAATCTGTGTACGAAATATCGTCGTTAAATAAGTTACAGATTATAATTTAAGCCCGTATGTGAGAAAGAAAATTATTCTTCCCTGAATTTGTCCATGCCAGTCTTCTGAGTTGTAACGTCGCGTGGACTCTTAAGTAGTTACCAACGTTTCGGAGAAACGTATTGCCTCCATCATCAGAGCTGAAGATGCAGTATGTTCCTTCAATACGTTGATGTCTTCCTACAAACCCACACGGATTGCAACCCAGGAGACAAAAACATTGACATCTTCACCGCCGTAGGAACCCAAATCTCATATTCTCTGGAACATGTAGGTAATAAAAGTTTCGGAAGACGTTATCTTATCTTCAGGTTTATTCCTCCAAAAAGGAAACTGATCGTGTTACTTGTACACGTTAGAAGTATTTTCCGAAGATATTGGAAAGTTTGGCAATGCTATGAACGTGTCTGATATTTGAGCTCGATTCTGAGGCCAATGTCCGTCTCTCCTACTCCAAGATCACGCACCTCAAGGCACAGGGACGATGCTTATGTTTTCCAGTCAGGTGCACAGATAAAACCATAATGCACCACATTCTTTATCTGTCTGTCTACTTCCACAGGTGGCGAATCTGTGCCCTTTATTCTCCTTTCCTATTCCAAGACACATCTTCACAGCATAGACTTACTGTAGTGTACGTATGTGTGGTCCATTCTTCTAGTTTCAAAGGCCATAACCCCTTATTTTCACAAACGTTTGTACTCCTCCATGTTGATTTAAAAGCTACACTGAATTTTATATGCAGCGTATAATTTTTGTATTAAATACAAGTCAAGGTACTATCCCGGCATTTTCCTGGAGGGACTGAGGAAGAACGTGTCGGCTTATATTAAGGAACTAGTACGTTGGGGTTTGAGGTTATCACGGCGGTAAATATATCGTTATTGTTTTTCTGAGTTGTGACATCGTGTGGACTTGTAGATAAATATCAACGTTTTAGAGATAAACATGCATTTCCATCTTCAGGGATGAAATGAAGATGGAGACAGCGTTTATCCGAAACGTTTACATCTGCGTACAAGTCACAGCTCAGAAAAAGAAATCGAACTAGCCCGATATTTGGTTGAAGAAACTGAGAACTATCTACATGAAGCAGAATTATCCTTGAGAAGCTAACAGTTCTACAGTTAATCAGGGAATTCACCGCCTTTTACGTAACCCTAAGGTTCATTTGCATGTTCAAAAGACAATGTCATCGGTTTGTTTCCTGTCCGGTTTATATCCTCCTTCAGAAGTTCCACATTATCATCAATGCCTAGATCTCTTTAGAATGCTATTAATTGGCCAGTAGGACGACGGCTTCCCTGCATTTCGTAATCCCCACGTCTGCAAACTTTAGCGGTTTATCATCACAAAGGGAGACCCACAGATCTGTTCCAAACATTGGAACCTTCTGAGGTCATCCTCCCGTGTTTTCCTCGGTTGTTGAATATCTCCGCCCCTATACATCACAGTTTTTCGGGCTGTTTAATTGGATTCATTCGTGTAAAAGATGCTGATTTTTTTTCCGGTCTGAAGTCTCCTTTCACATCTTGAATATTTACAGCTCATTTCGAATGGTCAGATTATTTATTTGGTCCTGCAACTTCTCTTAAAAAAAATCATCTCAGCCGTTTCAGCTATTCTTTTGTCTGTTCTCTCTGATTGTCACGTGCTATTCATGAATTCTTCGCAGGTGTCGTGGATACGATCACGTGACCTGCACATCCTGACGTCAGGCACTCTGACCTACACATCGGATTCTAGGTTTGAAGTGCTACACGTCCCGGGATCAGAAGTATGGACCCTGCGCATCATGAGTGCGCAGCCTCGTGATCAAGGTCGTTACGAATGTCAGGTGAACACCGATCCAAAAATCAACTTCGCAGTCCGACTCACCGTCAAAGGTCAGAACTAGTTACATTTCGTTTTAACAGTTGCCATGTTAATGCTGTTTTGTAGGATTTTGGACCTTATGGGATAATGTTTATGACTGTGTGCTTGTTACTTTAAATTTTCCCGTCAATCTTGACGGGCAATTTGCTAGTCCATCACATCGTCCGACCATCCTGACGTTCGAGTACCGAAACCTACAGATTTCAATTACGTCACATATAGAGCGATCTATACCAAAGTTGGCTAGTCAAAACATGCTGCCTCCATCTTTTGAGTTGAAGCAAGAAATGTCAAGATGACGAGTCTTTGAAGTTAGAAGAGGGACTGGGCCAGAGAGCACAGGAAGATTTCCCAATCAGAACACTGAAAGCGGGACGAGGGATGGACAGCCCAGAAGATGGCAGTGGTATGTTCCTCTGAAACGTTTGAAGACACACCAGAAGGAAACACAGAGTAACAATCCTGAGGCCCATAATGTTAATTCACACTTCCTTGAAGGCCGTAAATTCCAAACTAAATAAGAACTTAATAATGGAGGCAGCAAGGACTTCTGAAACGTCGGTCCATTTCTTCCATACTACACGGAGCAACATCCCAGAAGACAATCTGGATCGGAACTCAAATAAGATTAGCATCACCAGGTCATGATATGTTTGTTGTATGCAAATGTTCGATCACCTGTCATAACCACGAAGTCATCCGTCAGCTATAAAACAAACCCGGAGCAGAGGTTGGTAAAATGAGTCATCTGTCAGTGGGTTAAGGTTTGAAACGTTTGCTTCTCCGGGCGACACGCGCCCCCTTCTTTTAATAGAAAGGCTAAAATATAATAGAAACTTTATACTGCGTTCCAGCGTTCTTGGCCGCTGAACTTTGTAAATTGGAACCTTGGAGCGAGTCACTGACCAGAAGTCTGCTGGAAGGGATGGCAGCAGGCCGCGTACAGTACACTCCAAATAAAATATAACCACGTTATGTAACACAGGAAAGTCGATTTGACTCCAATACACATTATTAGAATATTAACACTGCAGAGATTATTAGATAAATTGTAGACCCGGTATTATAGACCAGGCGTGTCCTGCTTTGACATCATCAGTTTCGCTGAAATTGCATTTCTTTCGTTGTTTCAGAGACGGATATGAGGGATTCCCCGTGGGAGGTGTCACCCACAGACTCTGGCTCAGAACATGTGACAGCAGCAGGTTGGTACTCGTCGTTATACAGAGTAATCGAAAAGTTACGCAAAGTTCTCCTCGGACATGCTTTATTTATTTAAAAAATACATTACATTGAAATCAGAAAAAAACAATATTATATTAATCAAGTCCTGGAAATGTTCACCCCGTTCAGTAATTCAGATCTTTATCGTTTGAACAATAAATGAGATGCTACTTAAATCGAGTATTATCGCATATTTTATTTTATCGTAATACGCATGAACAAATTTTATCCTTAAAATTCAACCAGGAATTAATTACTACAAGTACTTCAAGTTATTTTTAACGATTGGTGACGAAATGTGGACTGGGTTCCTTACTAATTCTTTTAAAAAACAAGACCTAACCAAATCAGTGGAGCTGAATCCTTCTTGAGAAGCTTATAGTCACTAATAGCGCCACTTTTTATGGAATGCAAAAGCTTATTACCGTACACATAACAAACAATTTTTACAAATGAAGCGTTAATTACGTTTTGCTATAGTATCGTAAAATTATACACATTAGCATATAGTATCTGTAGAAGTTTCATAGTGACCACGTTTTCATGGCCTTTAAATTAAGTACTCTTTTTGTTAAAATAAACTTTAAGATGTTTCTCGTCTTTCATTTCCGGAATTCTCAAATGTTATACGTCGAACTTGCGTCTTTGGAACAACCGCAAGTGTGTTTTATCCGCTTAGGTTAGGTTTAGGAATGGCACTATCATATAACAGGACACTGAATTTGGTGGCTGTGGTAATATCGATACCTCGGTCACAAACGTCGAAGCTGCAAGACTCCTCTCATACCACCCACTAAAATCTAACAGCCAGGTTATGCCATTTATGCTTTGATATTCTCTTAGTTAAGTGAAGTTTAATAAGAACCTTCACAATGCATGCCACAGTGAGCCTTGGAATGTGCTCCTACTGGTTCAATGATTGTATTCGTCGGACGAACTAACATCAAAGCATCACGCGAGCTGGGACTTTAATAATTCAAGTTTATTAGAAGTCAAGCTGTACAGCACAGACTCATTACGTAAGGCCACATTGGCCACCACACCTATTGTAAGTCTGATAAAGCGTGTCCCACAAACCCAGGGATCTAGGAGAATTAGGTTATTTAACAAAATACAGAAAAATATAAAGAGAGATAAGTTGTTGCAAATCACGTGTTTCCAATCTCAAATGTTGAATTTTTTTACTTACGACCAGCCGTTACGACGCTCCACTCTTTAAATTACTGTTAATAAAAGGTTAGGATTATGTTGCCATGGCAGCGAAAGGAGAATGGGTTTCCAGAGTAAATGAAGCAATAGCGAAGGGGACACAGGTACTCCAAGAAACAACAAGTGAATGAAGCTAGGAGAATAGCAACGACTATCAAATTGTACCTCTATTTCCAAATAGGGCATATATCTTATATGGAAAGAATTCATGCAGTGAAGATGCTATGAAGTGATTGTCATTTGTAAAGTTACAAAATATATCAATTAAAATTTAGACAAATTTTCCCCACCCATGTGAAGGCCCCCGGAACAGCCGTCTCTTTCTAAATGACCTTAGTAGGCTGCTCTAGAACAGTGGTATTCAACCTGGGGTACGCGTACCCACGGTGGTACGTGAAATTTAAAAAAATATATTATTTTATGATAAACACTGAATAATCAGTAATGTAATTCATTTTAGATGTAGATTATATACTATGTATAACTTGAATTATAAACCAACAACTTTGGGGGTACAAAGTTGAAGAAAAATTATATCTGGGGGTACGCGAACAAAAAAGGTTGAATACCGCTGGTCTAGAAGAATCACTTTGAATATACTAGCACATTTGAAGCTTCATTTAAAATTTCTAAATTTCTCCTTATGAAGAAACAATTGAAACACAGGCAAAAATACTTCATTTTAACCGTGAAGACAGAGACAGCATGTTCGTATAAAGTTTAGGATGTAGCATGTTTTTTTCTTCAGTTTTCCGACAAGCGCACACATGTAAATTGAATTGAAACACGTTTCCACTTAATTTAATTGAAATATAATCACCGGTATGCGAGTAGCGATTTATTTGAAATTTAAAATGTATTGACATTGGAATATTTGTAACCGCAAATCTCTATAGTTCGAAAACTGAGTAAAACCACATAAAAGAATGAAGAAGGTAGCGAACTTAACAGGAATGTTCTAGGTAATTTGTGCGAAAGACCATACTGTTTGCGTTGAAATAAAATTTATCCAGAATTTCGGTAACAGATCATCTACTGTGTGTGAAAGTCCATCCAACTTTTCGTTTGGTATGTGTATAAACGTCATGAACAGTTTAATCAATATTGGATGTCAGTACTTTTACATGTCGCACAAGGAATTTATAGTAGGAGCCCATGATCGGTAAAACGTTTTGATGGAATGCCAATCCCTGAACGTCATGGCATTGGAAGAATGTATTAACACTGACGGGCCAAGAATTCTCTTCATACACTCATAATTCATGCCAAAAACTATTCGTAATGTCCTAACGTGACATTATTTCCGTCTATAATGTGAATCGTCATACGCTGAAATTTCATAACATCTTTCAGCATACGATAATAGACCCAGATAACTTTAATCTGCTGTGGAACATTGGTTCACTGAAACTGGGCCAATATACATAGACACTGATTCCGAAATACTACTGATTCCATAATAGTCACCTTCCAAAGTAACTATCACGCACTGGCATAGTCATCTAACACTTCCTCACTAGCATCTAACAGAGCTTGTGTCATTTTATATTTATAAATTTACACAGCGAATCAAATCAGTTACTAAATGTTAAAGCAGGTGGTACATATTCTTCCCACAGGCCTTGAAAGATTAACATTTACGACTATTATGAATATTAATTTCTTTACAATAATACAGAGTGAAATTAACAGAGGCTTAGAAACTGAACGTCATTAGGTTTCGAGTTTATATTAAGGCCCAGATACTGGCGTTAACCGGGGCATTACTGTGGTTAATATTACAGTTTTCCTACATTGCGCAGTATAAATTTTCTTTCCATATAAAATGCCATGGGACATCCTTACAGCTGTTCGATGTGGCTCAGATTTTTGAGAGGTTCCCTGTCTGTAGGCTTACATAAGAAACGTTCTTATTTCTCACATAAATGATGCCTTTGAAAGGTAACAACTTCTTTAGCATTTACGTACTTTCTTCATTAAAACTAATTAATACCACCGTTCACAAAATAAAAACATTCAGTCGTGTTGAAATTTACTTCCATCCTCTGATTTAATTTTCAAGTTTCCGAACGAGTAAGTATAGTCTTCAGCATGTTATGAATATCAGTATATTTTAATGAAAAAAACGTATTTTTTTAAAAAAAAAATCCCTTTCCAATTTGATGACAGGCCTTTCAAACGTGAGCGTTCACAAAGTGTATTGTTTACTGTGTACCACACGAGGTAGGCTAAATTTAATGAAATGGTAATGAACCTTGTTTTGCTGTGGGGCATGAATGCATCACATATAAGGAGCACATATGTCGCCATAGATTAGTTTGCTGATGTTGCCATGAAGCTGAAGTTCTCTCATCAAATTAATGGTTTATAACTTAACTACATACATGTTAAAACTGGAAATAAAGTATGCGTATAGACAGAAGTACCTATCAGATTACGATTTCATAGTTTTTTTTCCACAAAATAAAACGAAAAAAATATGTCGAATGGACAAACATTAACATTTAATTCGGCAGTGAAAAGAGCGATGTCCTGGATTTTCTGTTCAAATATTCATCTCATATTCTGAAAAGATGTCTGTATCTAATTACAAGCTTCCACGACATCAACGTTCTTAATTATAGTTTATGAGTGAGATATCAGGTTATCACGGCGACGAATTTAAATATATCTTCTAGGAATTCCTTCATGTTGTTTGGTGGAAGATTACCCAGAGGCAGTAAGCACCTCTTAAATGCCTAAAACAGCCATCTTCGTACTTATGATTGGAGAGGAAGACGAGACTGATGGAATTTCATGACTGTGTTTTGTTTACTGCAGCAAGCATTATGGGACCGCGGGAGCAGTATGTCCACCAGGGGAGTACGGTCACCTTTACGTGCGTGGTATCTGCACCCTATTCTCTGGGTACTAGACCTCCACGCGTCGTAGACTGGTTCCACTCTGGCCGCCTCGTCTCAATACAGGTACTGCGGTTGCATTGTACGTGCTCAACATTTTCGTGCTTTATGAGACGTAATTGATTTCATAATCCAGATCTCAGAACAGTGATGCACTTGTTTCAGACCAACGTCTGCATAGCTTAAACCGATTGCCCAGCTCCTCGCTTTCCTTCACTGTGCATTGCTCCATTTTTCTTTATCTGTTCCGTTTCTTCTCACCGTTTTCTTTCTTATTTATTTATTTATTTACACGTTCTATTTATATTTTATATGCGTTAATCCATGATTTATCGTTTTATCTCTCGTTTTGTATCTCCTTTGTCTCTTTTCTCAATTGTGTTTGAAAGGCCCCACGTGCGAATTTCTTGACCAGTACATGTGCATGATTGATCACCATGTGTACGAAATATTGTAATAATTTCATGACCTGCAGTAATATTTATGAATGAGTTAGGATGTCGTGCGCATAGTAACGTATGATTTAACCGTAAGCGCACCACTGACTCTGGCGACAG